GGAAAAAACCCTGTGGGAAAAAATCTTAGTGAAGGAAAAAGAGTACACATATCTTGTAATACGCATTATTTGCTGCCTCATTAAAAACCTTGCCAGAAAAACCAAGTGGGATAAAATCATAGCTAAGGAAAAAAGAGTACAGCGCGTATTTGCCTCCCCCTGATGAAAACATCACTTTATTCTTCGGAGACGACGAATTCCAATCTTGTATAACAACTTCTCTAATATTGAGATCCGCAATGTCTTGTGAAGAAGTTTGTCAAATTATCACTTGAACAAATTTGTTGAAGAACTTTGGTGAATGTGCTTTATTTTGTCTCCTTCGATAGTCCTTCTTTCAATTGATATAAGCAAACAACATTATCTTCAGTATTATTGGAATCTTCTCTTCAAAGTCAAGTCACACGTCTGTTGTGTGTTGAGCCCCTTGCTTTATCAGTTGCTTATCTTGGCATGACTTGAATAAGTATCAACAATTAACTGCCTTGTAAATGATAATTTGGCATTACCCTCACATGAAAATAGATTGTCTGAACAACGAACTATGCCCTGCATTTGTAACCAACAAAACCTTGACAATATTTGTTAAAATAAACAAATCTATATCAAGGATTCCTTTTGCAATATAATACTAATCATATTTCAATATCTCCATATAGCCTTTATACTCTCAGCTGTTGGGACTATTCGTCTAAACTTCATATTTTTCAGATGAAGTCAATTTTCATTGCATATTTTTCATTTGGCCAATCATTTATCTGTCCAAATTCCATGACAGATTTGAGCACAAGATCCTCGTCAATATTAATAATATTGAGCGCTACATTATATTAACAACATCGTCGACGATCATTTTACATCGGTTCCATCATCGCACAAATAAAGACATAACATATCGAGATCTCATTATTTTCAAGTACCTGAGCCTCTCCCATGAGGTCTTATAAAGTGTTATGTCATGGTGCTCTTATAAAGCACTTGCCTCCTTATTATGACCATCTTGAACATTTGCTCCCTTCTTCTTCAAGGAGTTTTATCTTTGGAACCGATTTGTCTATTACGCTTCATGCGTGCCATAAACTCTATCCATCATGGACGTTATTCTATTTGGAGCATTAGCAGCTGGAATATGACATTTAACTTTGGGTCAGCAATGTGCTTGGAAATATTTTAGAAATGAATTATCACTTGAATTTCAAGTTCACATTTTCTTGTACGAGGATCTAGATGTATTCATAATAATTCATTTCACGTATCACTTTTTCAGCTGCCCATTTTCTCCCCCTAATGTCGGGATCACCAACACATTTTTCAACCTTCTTTGGGAATCCATCTTTGTGCATTGTGGCAGCACAATCAAATCATATAGCACATCCATATTTCTAGATGGGAATATTTGGTTCCTAACCGTGAACCAATTGTAATGGAGAGAATTTATCATAACTTGTTGGCTAGATGCGTACAAGTACTGTTGTATATTAAATAATACACCTCATACCAAATTTTTATTTGGGAGTTTTGTTCTCATAACCAATGGTTTAGCTATAATTGGAGGCATACAATTTCTGCTAAACCAACTTGGATTTAAACCAGCATTATCAAGATAAATTATCATATATATTCTGGAACTGTGCTCTAATAATTTGAGCAAACAACCTTGCAAAAACCAAAGTGCAAGTTGATAACAAACGCACATGTGACCATACAATAGATGCATCTATTAAAATCATATAATAGTAAACGATCCACATGGCAGGTGACTGGGCCCATATATATATCACCTTCTATTCGTTCCAGAAATCAAGGGATTCAGTCCCAACCTTAACTGGTATATCATGAGAATAAGCAGCACAAGAGAATTCTTGAAGAATCTTCTATTTCTTCAATATATTCCAATGTGAATTCTCAATTAATTTTCGCATCAATAAGCCGGGATGGCCAACCGGTCATGCCAACTGATATTATTTCAGTAAATATTTAATTTACTATGGCATGTGATTTCATATCATGCTTATACATCTGTAGTACAAATAGAAGAAAAATCGGGTAACCTTCATATTTACCCGATATGTTATAGTAATTTGGAGCTAATCGATCTTCCTTTCATTTATAGTCTCAATATGCCAACCATTTTGGCTAATACATTTGAAACTCAAAAAGTTTCTTTTGAGACTTACTAGTAATGTTCATGATCTTTCTTTCTCTCAAACCTCCCGTAGAGGTGAGTTGTAGTATTTATTCAACCATGCATAAATACATTCTTGTGGATAATTTGTATCATATATATATATTTTTACACTCACTTTAGGAATGAGTCTGCATTTACGATGCTTATCACAAGTCGCATTCTTTCAAAAAATGGATCATAATCAGCGACGTGCTTTATTATTTTTCCACACCAATTTGATGTTAAACATTGCCTTCACATTTTGAAGGACTATTTTGAGAACCCTTATTGTTCTCATTTTACAATTACCATAATGATACCTATTATTATTTGATCTTTGGCACGCCCACGTTTATTGGTCAACCACTTGTCTTCATTTAGACTTATTATGCGCCGCTATCACATTCTCTTCAAGAATGGAGCAAATCAAGTGGGATATTTCATGCCTTTTCATGAAAGATACATTATTTTTCATTAGTCATCATTATATCATTAATATGGTGCATTGGGACTCAAACCCACTGCCTTACCCATATAAAAGCATGTTAATTTATAATGAATTGGGACTCAAACCCAATATCATGACCTTATCATCAGGGTGCACCAGGGCTCAAACCCGATATCTTATCCTCAACCAATGCCATAATAGGCTAAAGCGTGCTGAGGCTCACCCTTGAGCATTTAAAATATTAATTATCACACCATTGTTCATATATTTATTACAATTCAGTAAGCAATAATACTTGTATTATGCATGCAATTGTAGAAACTAACAAAATTATATTCATCAAGCATGAACAAAATTGAAAGCTTTGCTAAGTTTGGCCAGATATTCATGAAGGTTCAAAAGAATATCTTTTCATGAAATAATATAAATATCTAAGCATGTATATATTTGTTCAACCCATTAGCAACTTAATTATGCTAACCCAATATTTCTATGAAGGTTACAAGTGATTTAAATTCCAACAAGTAATATGGTACACCAACATATTCATGTGACATAAGTAATATAAATTAGTAAGTCACTTTATCAGATTGAAACTATTTTGCTCAAATCTATTTGGCATGTTAATTTCATAGAAACTCAAGGAGAGAGTAAATATTACATTGCTCATTTGCTGAATCAAATATAACATATAGAGGTATGAGTGCACCAAGAATAATATAAATATTATAACTCCCCGGATCTCTAAAGAAAGAAAGGTTTACCACAATACTATCAAGAGAATATATGTACCATGTTGGTGTAGCAATTGTCTAGTACATACTACACCTTCGTGGAAAAACTTGTCTATCCCTGCTATGTACTGTGTGGTTCCAGTTAGCCATTTAAAAATAAAAGTATTCTTTTCGGAAACATCCCATAAATCACTTGCAAGAAGTGAAATTCAACTTTAGTAAAATTGGAGAAGTCGTGCTGATAACGTGTTACAAAACTTAGCTCAAAGTAATAATATAAAACAAGAAGATAGACAACAATGAAGAGAGAAAGAGAGGAGAGAATCTATTTCTTCCATGTATTCAAGTGTGTACAATGTGATGCCCAAACCCTCTATTTATAGGATGATATAGGTAATACAAAGGGATGTCATAAACATGGTATTAACTATTGGGAACATGGGGGAAGATCATGTAGGTGTGGGAGTTACATCCATAATGGTAAGAAGTAGTGGGTGTTACTCCCTTAGGAGTTATGGACATCCACCATAATCAAGTATTTCATAATAAATGGTTAATTTTTTCCAAATATTTTAGTCAATTTTTTTTAGCAACTTGAATTCCTTTAACGCTTGGGATTTTTTAGTTTCCATAGAGGAAAAAAGATTCTTCAAAGCGGTCTTTTCCATGAGTAATTATTGGCGCGACTTTGGAATTTCAATAGACAGAACACAATTTCAATTTGAATAAAATACAAGGGCTTAAAAATTTTAGGTCAAATTTTCGAGCAGTTTTAACTCCTTTTAGGTTAAGACAATACATTAACTTTCACAAGGATTTAGAAATATAATATAAATATTCTATGCATCGATACAACAAAATTCTTTACGTTTGTAACTAAAGTTAACTTTCACAAGGACTTATAAATCTGATAAAAATACTGTCTGCTCAATCAACATAACAAAATCTATGTTTGTAAATCAAGTTAGTTTTTTCAAGGATTATGAATCTAATAAAAAATATATTACTCTAAATTTTTTAGTTTTCTACTCGGTGTCTGGTACTTGTATTGGGACTAATTAAATTCAATTTTTATTAAATTCAATTTTGCGTCGAGAAGTCTCACATTAATAAGATAAATTTATACCAGGACATAAACCCAATATCTTTGGTTAAGGACGGATATTCCAAATTTACAATTATTAAGGAGTTTCTCAAGTAGCAAGGCAATAAGATTAAAACTTTTTTCAGAGTTTGAATCTTATTTGAAAACTTAATTAATCAACGGTTTATAATATATTAATAACTATCTTTTTCGTTAATACAATTTTATTTGGGTTACAACCGTCAAACAGTTTTTTAATAAAAGATCTATAAAAGCCAAACGGGACAGTGAACAAAAAAACTTGATGTTAGATTTTACTCTTTTTTTTTAAATAAATTGTTAGATACTACAAATCTAGAGAAGAAATGAAGCAGAGAATTGGCCATTGAACTTGAGAGAAGCTTCGAGAAGAAGAGAGAGAAGCATCAGATATTTTCTATTATCCAAAAATGAATGTTAATCTTTTTGTACAAAAAATAATGACTAAAAAGATAACAGGTATAAATAGTGGGCCTGTGACCCGGATACAATGGGCCACTACTATGACTAATTACAATAAAGCCCATATCAGCCTTTTTCTTCTATTATTCTAACAGCCCCCCTCAAGTTGGAGGGTGAAAGAACCCCCAACTTGCCAAGATGGAGATGATGAGCAGGCCCAGGGAGTGCCTTGGTAAGGATATCAGCAACTTGAGCAGCACTAGAAACATGAGCCAAACTGATCAAGCCATCACCAATTTTTCCTCTGATAAAATGACAGTCCAACTCTATATGTTTGGTCCGCTCAGGGAAAACAGGGTTGCGAGCAATGTGCAATGCAGCCTGATTATCACAGAATAAGGAAACACGAGCAGAAGAAGAAAGACCAAAGTCAGATAACAATCTGGAAAGCCAAGTAACTTCAGCAGCAGCTTTACTCATGGCCCTGTATTCAGCCTCAGCAGAGGAAAGAGAAACCACAGGCTGTTTCTTAGACTTCCAACTCACCAAACAGTCACCCAGAAATACACAAAAACCAGTAACGGACCGTCTACTATCAGCACAAGAAGCCCAGTCACTATCACAGTAGACTCTTAAGCCAAGATCAGGGGAATGACTGAAAAACAGGCCAAAATCAGAAGTCCCTTTCAAATAGCGCAAGAGATATAAGGCAGCCTGCATATGGGGAATACGGGGGGATTGCAGGAACTGGCTAAGGTGCTGGACAGCAAAACTGATATCAGGGCGAGTGTGGGTTAAAAAATTCAACTTGCCCACTAAACACCTATATTCCTCAGGCTTGGGCAGAAGATCACCAACAGAAGCCTTCAACTTCTCATTGATAGTAAGTGGACAGACCACAACTGAAGAGGCAGAAGAGTCAAAGGACTCTAATAAATCATGAGTGAATTTCTTTTGATGAAGAAGAACACCAGAATCACAATAAAGCACTTCAATACCCAGAAAATAGTTAAGGGAACCAAGGTCCTTAATCCTGAACTGCTCATGTAGAAAGCCTTTTAAGGATGAAATCTCAGATAGATCAGTACCAGTCAGAATTATGTCATCCACATACACAGCAAAAATCACCAAAGAAGAACCAGAACCCCTAGTGAATAGAGAGTAGTCATTCAAAGAATGAGAATATCCTCTAGAGCAAAGAGTCTGAGACAACTTTGCATACCATTGCCTGGAATCCTGTCTCAAACCATAGAGGGATTTGAGTAGTTTACAAACCAAAGGAGGAGAAGTAGATGAAGAGGGAGAAACAGACAAACCAGGAGGTATTTTCATGAAAACCTCTTCATCAAGATCCCCATGCAAGAATGCATTATTGACATCAAGTTGGAACAAGGGCCAGTGTTGTTTGACAGCCACAGCAATCAATGTTTTTACAGTAGACATTTTGACAACAGGGGAAAATGTTTCATGAAAATCAACCCTTCAACCTGAGTATCACCTCTAACTACTAACCTGGCCTTATACCTCTCTAGAGTCCCATCAGCCNATTCGGAGAAAACCCTATTTCAGAATGAAATCAACGAAAACCCAAATTTCGACGAAGAACAATGTGATTAACATCAATCGGAAACGGATGAGATGAACCATCAGGATCTACGCTCTGATACCATGTTAGATACTACAAATCTAGAGAAGAAATGAAGCAGAGAATTGGCCATTGAACTTGAGAGAAGCTTCGAGAAGAAGAGAGAGAAGCATCAGATATTTTCTATTATCCAAAAATGAATGTTAATCTTTTTGTACAAAAAATAATGACTAAAAAGATAACAGGTATAAATAGTGGGCCTGTGACCCGGATACAATTGGGCCACTACTATGACTAATTACAATAAAGCCCAACAAGCACTATCAGCCTTTTTCTTCTATTATTCTAACATAAATCTGATTCTCAAATTTTTACTTTAAAAAAAATTAATGACAACAACCTTCAATTTAATTGAATTTTGTTTTGACGTAACAAGAATAATAGATAAATAGATTATGATAATATCATATAAGTGCATGGATTAGGTATTCTTAAAGTTTCTTTCTTAATTTTTAAGAAAAGTAGAAAATTTATACAATAATATTAACACGTGGATGAAGAAAAAAACAGGTAGAACTTTTTCTCTATTGAGTTTTCTAAACAGGCTCAGTATTTATCATTTTCAAAAACTTACATTCACTTATCATTACTCTCTATTTTATAACTTAGATACATTTTTAATTATATATGAGATATTAAAAACTTTAAACATATTAATATAGGGTACACACGCGACATGTGTACCTTAAGACTAGTATTAATTAATAACATAAAATAATCAACATCTAACGGCAACTAAATAATGGAAATTTATTTACGCGCTTGTTTAGTTATATTTTAGTTCATTATGCTCTTTAATCTTGATGTGTACCAGTTATCCACATCATCTTGTTCCACTAGTTAAAAAATTTTCGTTGAAATATTAAATCTCATAAAACTCCCGTGCCACTAAACTCTATCATTACCAGAATGAACATGAAATATACGTCCATGCTAAGATTAGTTGATTTTGAATTTATAATCATATTCATTTATCATGCTTATATTTCATTTTCAATATCTTAACGTCAACTTAGATAAGAATATGATATATGATAGGTGGCAATGCTCTACCTGAATATATTAACTAGAAATTCACGATAATGGAGAAGATTCTTGTCACGACCCAAAATTCACTATAAGTCGTGATGACGCCCAACGTCGCCGTTAGGCAAGCCAACAGTGAACTACCAACTTAATTATTTATTTTATTATTTTTGAAATCATAAACCTTATTAGATAGGGAAATCAATGCATTAAAAATTCTAGATACGTACAATTTAAATGTAATCTATCTATACTATATTAAAAGTGGAAAGCCCTTAAACTGATATGGGTGATTAATCTACGTGTATGCTTGTGCAAGTGTTCTACCACGATTCAAGTCAACAAATAAGAGCAAAGACAATGAATGTCACATAAGAAACGATCACCACGAAATATACAGTGTAAATAAGAAAGCAACAAAGTTTGAAGCAGCGACCAACACAACAAGATTAGCTACATAGAATTGAGCAAATAATGCAACACGGAGGAGAACAATTTATAGTTTGCTAAGGAAAACAACAATCAAAGACAAGTGCACAGAGAAGGGAAAATGACAACAGAGCCCTCCCGAGGTACCGCCTCATAGTCTCAAATAGTAAAATAAATCACAACGGCATGGTAGAAACCTCGTGCAAGCAATAACCACCGCACGGCAGAAACCTCGTGCAACAATAATGACCGCACGACAGAAATCTCGTGCCACAATAACGACCGCACGGCAGAAACCTCGTGCCACAATAAAATTCGCATAGAAGAAACATCGTGCCACAATAACAACCGCACGGTAGAAATCTCGTGCCACAATAACAACCGCACGACATAAACCTCGTGCCACAATAACATCTGCACGGCAGAAACCTCGTGCCACAATAACAACCGCACGGCAGAAACCTCGTGCCACAATAACATCCGCACGGCAGAAATATCGTGCCACAATAACAACCGCGTGGCAGAAACCTCGTGCAAACACAATACTGAATACAACAGCAACAACGATAAATACACAAGAATACGACAAGTAAATCAACTCAGGAACTCCAGAACACAAAGAGACGGAAAAACGAACTCACAAGGAAAGACACAACAGGAAATAATGGTACCACATAGCAATAGCTCAACAAGGAAGAGATACTGTGTAGCAATGATTCCACATAAGTACAATTCAACAATAAAAGGGATAACATAAATCAATGACTCCAATTAAGCGTAAGTCAACAATGATAAGGAATAACAAAACTTCAAGTAGGTTAGAGCAATTACGGAAGAGATTCAACAATTCAACTAAGGATAAGCATATTATGATAAAGATACTAATAACTTCAATCAAGGATAAACAATTACGAAAAGGATATCATAGCAATAAAAGAAAAGGAGACAACAACTTCAGTGAAGGCACATAAGAGTTTAATCGGCAATAAGGGTAAAACATGAGGCAATTAATTCCAATTAAGACACGTAAGGGTGGATTTAGTAAAGGAGGAATTTAACATGATAACACAACTTCATATTTAATGGACATAATAACCTAAGAGCCGTAAACGGTCAAATTTCCACAAATAAACCCGAGCACGTACTCGTCGCCTCGCGTACACGGACTTCACATGACACAATTAGCACCAAAGACTCAAATTCTAAGGGGTAGTTCCCCCACACAAAGTTAGGCAAGATACTTACCTCAAAGAAGCTAGACCGTTACTCTAAAATGACCTTCTCGAGTGAAAAACCCTACGGACGGCTCAAATCTAACAAAAATAAATTCAAATCATAAATGAAACTCATAAGAAATAATTCCGGATAATAAAGCTTCGATCTTTAACAAAAACTAAAAGTCAACCCAAAAATCAACCCGCGAGCCCGTACCTCGAAACCCGGGCCCATAACCATACGAGTTCAACCATATCAAAATTATCAAATTCCGATATCAATTCGTCCCTCAAATCATCATTTTACTTTTTGAAAGATTTCTTCAAAATTTCCCTTTACTCACTTTGATTCTCACCATTTTGATGTTAAAACTCAAATAAAATCATGAAGTATACATAGAAATTGAACAAGGGCACTTTCCCAACAATTGCAGATGAAATTCCTCTCTCAAAATCGTCCACTCTCGAATCTAGAATTCAAAAATATCACAAAATGAAGCAAAAACCTGAATTACACAGCTGAAAACAAGCTGCAGATGTCGTATTTGCGATCCAGGGTTCGCAATTGTGAACCCTCGCAAAAGTGAAGAAGCCTTCGCAATTGCGAACAAGAAGAGGGCTGGAAAATGTCGTTATTGTGAATTGGCATCGCAAATGGGATAAGAATATTTGCAATTGCGACTACACCAGAAACCAGCAGTCTCCCCAACACGAAAATGAGCATAACTCTCACATAAGATATTTGAATTCGACGATTCTTATTGCTATGGCTCCGTAATTACGATAAGGATCTAATGCTTCTGTCACGACCCAAACCGATGGGCTGCGACGGGCACCCGGTACCTTACTCAACCGAGTACCAACGTAACGTATCTTCCTTATTACATCATCATAAGTAAGTGGGCCAGAAGGGGCATCATGAGATAACCAGAGTAAACATGAGGGAATATCCGACATAGAACGACCCAACCTGATATAGAAACTCATACATGTGACATACGGGCCTATAAGACCTATGTGATCCATTATATACTTAAAATATAGGCCGAAAAGGCCATGCAAGTATTTGTATACATGACATCTATCTATAAGCCTCTAAGAGTACATATTTATCATAAAGGTAGGGACAGGGCCCCGCCATACCAAACAATATGTGTCTAAATCATACTGACCAAACAAGCAACTCCGGAGCAAATGGAGCGCACCAACATCTTCCGTTGAGCTTATAGTCTACTTGGAGGACTCTCGACCTGTCTATCGGGACCTGCGGGCATGAAACACAACGTCCCCAGGCAAAAGGGATGTCAGTACAAATAATGTACCGAGTATGTAAGGAATGAAAATCAGTAAATAATAGACATGAGAGAAACATGGAGTAAAAGACTCGACATGTAAGTCTGAATAGCTCTGTGAATTATTTAATACTTATAATGTCATGCATATGCGTATAAATGTCATACCATGCATTGGTATATGCGTTCATAACATCATCAAGCCTCTGAGGGCATCCATCATATCATCTTGGCCACTGTGGGCATCATCAACGTATATATAACGTTGTAACCTTTTTCCGTATCCCATATACATATATATGTATATATATATATACACACGCATATATAATGCCATATGGTCATGGGTCAATGTACATGTATAAATAAATGCAATGCATGAGAAGTACGTCAATAAAATCTCTTGGAATGTCATAAGACCATTATGCCTTTGAGTAATCTCATGAAGTAAACTTTTTCAACTTACTTATTTTTCTGAGACCCATGAACAGATGATAAAATAATAGAACACATGGGGAATCAAGAACATAAGCATCTCTAGCATTTCTATGAATAGAGTCATTTATGGAAGTTGTGCATTTACTCGTTTCTTTTGTTATAGATCATGCTAAAAGGAAAAAGGGATAGCCTTAACATACCTGAGCCGATTCTCTTAAAAATCCCTCTAACACACGTCAATTGGGATAAAACACATAACGGTGGATCGAAGTAGGGAAAATCTGTATAATATTCTCGAGAAAGATTGCACTGTACTCCCTTATAATTGCAAGATCTCACGTTGCATTGAATTGTTGAAGATGTTACATTGCTTATGTGATATATGCAGATGCATATTAG